TCCATAACTAAAATAAAATGTACATAGTTTTAATGTACTGAGTTATAAGTATATCTTATATTTATTTATCCTTTTTATTGACATATTAAAATTTAAAAAAACAGGGTAACATTTTCACTAATCAGGAAACTATTAATGTGTGTAATTTTATATAATAACCTATATTTCTAAATATTAATTTTTCTGAATAGATCTTGAGTTTTACATTTGTATCTGCAACTTTGCTGATCTCCAAAAGGATACTTAAAAATTCTGGCAACATTTCAGAGGCAGTATCTTTTAATGAATCCAACAACAGGCCTTTGCATATATCTGCCAGTAGGTGGAGCAGACAACATAATTTACTACCCAAGAACAAGGACGAGGGAATGAAAGTCTGTTTATTTGGAATAAAACAAATCTGCAAATGAGATTTTCTTCAAAGGGAATATGTCCTATATGTGTTAGATTTAGTTTGACTGGTTACTGAATCAAAATAAATAACTATTAAATAATCAGTCTTCGCAGAAAGATAAATTAAATTTACGAACGGAAGCAGAGTTTGCATTTTACTTATTCAAATCAACTAAAATTAGCTTTGTTTTCACAAAACTTTTACAGGGACAGAGACTTTTTGAAGTGTTCATTTAATAAGGGCGCTAAACCAATCCTGTTTTACAGGTGATGGGGTGCATAACAAATAGTATTTTCTGGGAAATATAATTGACTAATCCTATCATGTCTGTAGCAACAAATTAACCTTATTACTACTAGTAAATGGTGATTGATTATTTATGCAAATAAGTTACCATGTTCAGCTTTCTGACTGAAATAAACATAAACAAAAGGTGCTTTAATATGACTTGAACTTTTTAATTAATAAAACCCTGAGGGGTCTATTAATTCACTCATTGCAATATTAGTTATTTACTTGTGTAATTCCTATTAATGCTAATACATTTGCTTGCATAAAAATGAGATAATTATTATCACTAAAAATTAGTAATAGATTTTAAGATGTACATGAGATTTATACTAAAAAAAGGCTTAAAACTGACTTTAAAACTATGCTGTCAGTATGTCAGTATATCAGCATAATCATCCTAAAATTAATACATTAAAAAACACATGACTTCATTTATTATCTGTATATGAATTCACATATTCACAATTGTAGCTTACAAAAGTCTTCACCTTTTCTTATGCATTTATTTGTCTGAATTAATGTTTTATTTCAACTCATCTAAATTAAGCTATATTAGAACTATGAAAATGTAATATGAAAATTAGTATTCTAGAAACTACATTAACATCATTCCTAAATTATTGAGATCACCAATAAAATAGTGTTTTTCTCCTGTCTAACAATGCTGTTAGAATTATTCCGCTTAAGCAGCTCAAGAAAACTTTTCTCATCCTCATCTACTTCTTATAAAAATTACTTAGGTTTGAATAGTTTTTCAGTAAATTTTAAAATATCTGCACAAATTGAGAGTTAAAACTTACACAAGCCTTTCAATATAAATCAATTCATCTTTTGCATTTATTTTGTACTTAAAGGTGTATTTAATATAATTTGAAAACAAAACTCTAAAAACAAGCAATGCAATTGATCTATAAACATGTGACTTAAGAATATTTTTAAAACTGCAGCTTCATTTCTTCTCAATAGCCAAGTCGTTCTGAAAAAATCATTAACAATACTCGAAATGAAATATGTATCTTTCATTCTCTGACTCTTGCTTAGGTTTGGAAAAGTATTTAAAGATTTTTATTAAAATAAAATAGTAAATGGAATCAGCAAAACCATAAATATAGCTTGTTAATTTCAGTGAGACTGCCTATGTAAGCTGTAACAGAAAGTTGGCAATTTCCTTCCAGCCCCCCCAAAGATTGTCTGGCATCAGACTGAAATTAGATGGAATGCTTCCTGTGGTTAAGGAGCATAATATACATTTGTATGACCTGATCCTAGTCCTAGCACAGTAGCAGAAAGATTGTAGGTACTCAAAAATATGTTATTTGGAGTAATTAACTGATGAATTTTAAAGTTAAGATTTATATTCACTCTATTTAGTAAATATCAGTGTTGCATATTTTTGTGTAGGTGAAGTTGATTTATAATTGTACCTATAATATCAGTTTTAAAATTCGACTTTTTAATTTCATGATGAAAAGCACTAATTTAAAGCTAAGTAAAGCAACTCTGGTGGATATAAGGAACAAAACATTTAAAATTTCCAGTACCATCCTGTTAGTACAAGCAATCCCCTGACCCAAGTAAACAGATGAGACCAGGATGATGCCACTATTCTACTTTATCATGAAAGAAAGAAAAGGAAGGAAGAAGGAAGGAAGGAAGGAAGGAAGGGAGGAAGGATGGAAGGGAGGGAGGGAGGGAGGGAGGGAGGGAGGGAGAAAAGAAAGAAAGGAAAAAGAAAGCCTCCCTCAGGAACAAAAGTGTGCTCATAGTTTCAAAGGGCTGTCCCTTTTATCTCTAGCTAATTGTGATCGAATATTAAAGACCACTGTGACAAAATACACCAACTTGCAAGATTCAAATGAAAACCCCTGACATTTTAATAATATTCCTCTTCAAGGGAGGTGATTTAAAAACATCATTTCCTCTGTATTGCCCTCAGGTCTGTGAAGCCAGGTGTGAAATGTAGGGTAGGCAACACCATTATGAAGATTTCTAACTAATTTTCTTTAATAACTAAAGAAAAGCAAAGAAAGGAAATGAGAAAATGAATGCGTCCAACAGCTAAGACAAATTGAAGAACACGAAAGTGTAGAATCTTAGTTTATCCTTGACAGGTTAAATTCTAATAATATGATTGTTATCATTTACTGAATGTTCTCTAAGGGCCTGGCAATATTTTAAATACATTACATTTAGTCCTCACAATGTTCTCTCAAGGTGCAGAGTGAAACAGAGGCTCAGACAATTCTAGGTAATCTCCTAATACCTTACCCTAAGTGAGAGAGCTTGCATGCCAACTTAGCTCTGACTGATGTAAATGTTCACACTCTTTCTACTGTACCATAGCGCCTCAAAAAAGAAACATTTTATTGGATGCCAGGAAGTTCTGGGGACAAGTGACCACTAAACTAAAATTTATATACACTGATATTACTAGCAGCCAACATGGGATAAACAGGAGAAAAATGAGATACTGCACTGACAGCTTGCATTGTTAATACAAACATACCTAAAACATAACGGTAATATTGCTTGAATATTCGTTAAGGTCCATGAGCCAAGTCACATGGTCAGGTTTGCGAAATAATTTGTTAAACCAGGCACTTAAATGCAAAACTGAAATGAAATCAAAATACTTTAAAAAATAATGCATATAAAATATCTATCATACTCCCTGACACATGGTAAGCACTCCGTGGATATGTGCTATTATTTTTATTAGTGAAACATCCAAGTTTTTATGGTCTTTCTAAATTATTCCACTATACACCCAATAACTAAATAACTCTGGATGAAACAGAATTAACAGATGTTTCAGTTAAATCTGATTTCACCACTTTTAGGGTTGCTTGCTCTATCACAGTACCAATCGTAAGTATAAACCATGCGATTAGAACTCAGGTTAAGTTTCAAAGTATAAAGAGAGTTCAAAGTTATCATAGAAAACACTGTCCCCAAGAATTATTACTAGGTTTAAAGAATTACAGCATATATTTATAGCCCCCCTTAGTTTCATCAAAATTGAAATTACTAGTAACTAAAGTTTGAAAAAAATGTTTTGCTAAAAAGAATCCTTGATCTGTAATTCTATATCTTTAAAATGTAGCCCACTAATCAAAGGACTAAAACATTTACATTGTTATGGATTTTATAATAAAAAGTGAAAATACTTTTACCTTTTATTTTTAAAGCTCTCTTTAAATTATTACCTAAGCATATTTAGAGTTGAAAGACCTCAGTTTGAATACCAGAGCTATTACTAGTAGTTTTGTGCCTATGACCAGTCACATAATTATCTGAGTTTCAGTTTCCCTGCCTGTTAAATAAAGACCATTCAGCTACCCAAATCCAAGTAAATATTACGATAATCATCATTATTGTCATTTCAACTACCAAATAGAAGCTAGAGGTACAGGAGGCCTGTTTTCCAAACTTACATGGCCAGCCCACTACTTAATATGGTTTCAACTTTGGATGCCTCTAAGGAAGACATTCAGTCTCAGCTCTCACCCTCTCCCACTGGGACTTCACTTGCCCCTCCCTGTCGGAAGACATCTGCATATGCGACTCAGCTAGAACTCTAAGACTGGACTTGAAGTCTAGGAGAAAGAATAAAAACCAAGAAATTGCTAGTTTCCAGCCTCAAGCTCAAGTAACAAAACACATCTCATCCCCCAAATTCATGCTTTTTTTTAATCGTATTTCTTTGTGAGCAGAATATTCGACATGCAAGTTTTTTTTTTTCTTAGCAACCATGATGAGATCTGAAGCAGTAAAATCTTCCCACGTATCAGAAAAGAAATTTCTAAGTATTCCAAATCCCACACTTATATTTCTATACGAAGATGCAACTGCTCAAGCAGTATGTTTAAAAGCTATACATGAAAACTTGCCTCGGAATTTATTAGATTAATAGAATAGAAAGGATGCAAGAATGGTTTTAATCTCAACATTCGCTCAATTAACAGAGAAAATATGAAAGTGACCTCAGCTTAATAACTTCTTAGTTCTTGATCAATTCACAACAAAACAATAAGCCACTCAGGCTGGATTTGGAAAGGAAGGTTATGCCCTTCGTGGTGGATCGCAGTGCTGACTTGGACCTTTCTGCCAGCCTCTCCCGGCTGCCTCTATGAAGCTGCTGTCAGACCAGCCGGGGTGCCTGCGTGCACCTACACAGCAGCACGGAATTGAACTCGAAGTAGTGTCTTTGTGATATCTTTTCAACAAGTCATGTCCCATTCAGCCTGCTAGTTTATCTCTGTCAGGCTGGGTGCCCAAGTGGCTTCCGCGAGCTGTCAGGGACAGGTAGACCAACCTGCTTTGTGCTGAGGAGGTAATGCATCTTTCGGGCTTGGTAATCTCTTTTCTTCTCCTCCCTTTCCAGGTCGGCCTTCTTCTCTTCCCTTTCTTTAATCTCTGCAAACTCCTCCAGAGCCTTCCTGCAGGGGTCAGTTTGCGGTTATTCATGATACGAAAAATCTGCTAACCTTTTAATTCTTTCACTGATGAGAATCAAGTAAGTTTTTGAGGGGTAACCATTGTCCACATCCATCAAAATCAGTGGTGGAATCGAGCTTACTGGCACATTCTAGGGGAATCTTTGCAATCTTTAAAAAGCATTTAAGTGATTTTTCAGTGGTGAAATTTTGAAAATCAAGTATCTACATATTATAATCAGTTCAATAGCTGAGGAACTGTATCAAATGCAAAGTAAGCTAATTACTATGCTATCATTTTCTTTGGCTATTTTGGACTTAGTTAAATATCCTAAGAAAACATCTGGGCTATTGATTTCCTTTAAATTTGGTATTTACCAAGTTCTCATTGTTTACTTTACACACTAACAGGCTAATTTAAAAAGTGTGATGGGTTTTTACACATATACTTAATTTATTCTAAGTTTACTTCAGTTAAACAGTTGAAATAATATCAACAAGATTACATATATTATCCTGTACTTGAAAGGTTGACACTTTGTTCAATCATATCAATAATTAGAATAAAAGCCAAATTGGGTGCATAAGTTCACAACTTTCTAAGTATAATAAATTCCATTAAAATAATAAAATTTTCATCACTTATGTATACGTATTTAAAAAATTTAAACAAAAAAATCACCTCTTAAAATATACTTTGTGACAAATACCTGCTAAATAGAATATTATCAAATTATGGAAGAATAAATCCTTTATTTTCATAGAACAAGTTTAACCACTCATGCTAAAATGTTTTGAAATTGTACTTTATGCTTTTAAAAAACAGATATGTAACTTAGTGTCTAGTTCTATACGTAAAATTTTAAGTAAAGCATCTGGGCACATACCTCAAAGATAGCAGGGGAAAGTAGAGGGGAGAATTCCAAAAATTAAAAAAAAAAAAAAAAAAAAAAAGATTCTCATTTCTACTTCAATGACTGGAAATATTTTTGTCGCAATTTTCTGTTAAAGGCTACTAATACAATACTTCATACAAGGTTACTTATGAAACACTCTGACGTTTAAAAATCACCATGCTCTGCTATTGCAGCAGAGCTATTTTTTCCAACATAAGATTAAATTGCAAAATAAATGAATTACTTGGAGTGGCATGGCCCTCATTTTGCCACCCTTCTCTTGAAAATTGCTTATTAATATGAAAAAAGGAGTCAGAAAATAGCCTGTTTTACTTTATGCATAGTATTTTGGGGGCTTCTGCACCCACAGAGCTGGGCTGGCTGCACATTTAGATTGTGCTGGCAGGCTGGTACAATGACCTTTCTGACCTGCATCTCAAGGCTATTATTAATCACTAAGTAACCTGGTAAAGCCAAACAAATTTGTTTCCATTGAAAGGATCTCTATCTGTGTCTGAGAATTTGTTCTGTACCAAACAAACCTCATTAACTGTGTCCATTTTTGACAAAGAACCAGGAGTTACAGGGATTGGTGACCTTTCTTTGTCCTTAGGTACAAATTTCAAGGCAGTTACATATGAACAAATGAGAATTTTTACCAGGAAAAGTAACAATCATATGTTACATAAGGAAGTAAATACGTCATTAATTTTCACCTTTACTTTTGATATTATGCAAAAAATAAATATCTCTTCTCTAATTCCTCTTATAAGTCTTTAAGATAATTTAAAATAACCAATGAACTGCCGCTATAAGGATAATTACTCAGATATGCATGTATCCAATTTTATATTACTCCAGAGATAAGGACAGGAATTTTCCGAGTAATCACAAAAATTAAAAAACACATCTACAAAGAAGTTTGTGTTCTATAAATAATTTAATGAATATGAAGAGATCTTACATAAGAAAGAAAAAAGGCCCAATAAAATTGAACACATACATGAACAGGCAAGGTACAAAGAAGTTAACTAGGACTTGGATACAAAATGAGGGTGGAAATTACTTGAAGCAGTAAAAACCGTCCATCTTCAGGATATGGAAACATAAAATTAAAACAATGTGTACTTGGGGAGCTTGACAAGGAGAGTTAAAACTGAGAGAGGTGTAAAAGAATGTCAGTTTCCAGTACATAAAGAAAACACAGAGTCAGTCTAGAAGGAACTGGGAAGCCCTACAAATAAATCCAAGAAATTTGACAAAACCCTAGAAAAACTAATCTGGGGTAATCTCAAACCACAAAAATAATTAATTTAGTCAATTCATACAATTATTGAAAAAAAATCAATCTAAAGTTCCTAGCTGATTTATTGCCCTACTTGAGAGTATACAGTTATATTGAACACCACAATTATATTTATGTTAAATATTCTTTGTTAAATAACCAAGTAGGAAGAGCTGAATAAATTATTTATCCTTGGTATACAGGTTTTTGTTATAGCAATCTAGATGAAGATATGGCTCAATGTAAAGGATGTAGTAAAAAATTATGATCCCATTAAAGATTAAAAGCTGGAAACCATTGTAACTAGGGTTCCCTGCAAAAATATAAAATTTACCTATATTTTAATCCAGCAATTTTTAAAATGCTTTTTAAACAATTAAAAATTTCTCCAAATAGTTTCAGGTTATGAATATTTTTTTTTAATTTCAGGTGTATTGACTTATTTCTATCTTCAAAAAAAATCCTGTGAAATATATGGGATAGGTATAACTAATTACCCTATTTTACAAATATGAAAACACATAAAGAGATGAAATGACCCATTCTGAATAACAAATCAGTTAATGGCAGAAATGGAATTAGAATCCCTAGATTTGCAGATTCTCTAACCACAGACCTGGCTATAGTCATCCTGATACAAGAAATACTATGCAGAAGCTACTTTTATTGAAGGAACCATGATTATTTTCTTTTATCTTATGATCCTGTTTCCTATTATATAGTTAAAGAAACCAGGATACGTCCCCAGACTTTCTGTACCAGTTTTTATATATACAAAACATTTTGTGATATTAGTTTTAAAATAAAGGCAAAAATTACTGAAACTATGTAAAGCTTTACATATTTGAATATATTTTGCTAATGATATCTATAATGATAATAAAATATTAACATATTCTAATCGTGATAACAATAATAAAAATAAGAATAGCCACTTGGAGGCAATATAGTGGAGCAGTTAAACAACATAGACTCTGAAATTACACCTGGATATAAAATCTCTGCTGGGCTACTTACTAGCTGTTTAATCTTTGAGCCTCAATATCCTCATCTGTAAAATGCAAATATATTATCAGTATTTGTATCTTTTTCATCAAGCTATTGTGAGGATCGAACAGATTAGTCTATGTAAAGTGCTCAGAGTAGTGGTTGGCACATGGTAAGGTGCTACATTAGAGAATGTTTCCTGTGAGCTGCGTACTAGGTTACATGCTTTATCTACATAACTGAATAGGAATCTTTTATGCTTTCTTAAATCCCGTCAATGATCTTCTCCTTTCTCTCTCCACACTAGTGTGCACTTTATGGATGAGTGCACAAGGCAGAGCAAGGAATCTGGCTTCTAAGAGGCAGGAAGCATGGGGTAAACCTTGACCAGTGGGAAATAGAAGACAGAAGAGATTCATGCAAATGAATTTCCCTTTTTTACTGTCTTTCACATACTGCTTTGAGAGGTCTCCTTGCAGATTGGGAGAAAACCTATGTGGCTAACAAAAGAATGCACACCTGATCCACTAGGTTGAGTCACTCTGGAATGTGATGTGAAGCAGTGGTCCAGGGCTGCAGGAGGTCATCCTATCACATCCTCCCTGTAGGGCCAAAGCACCCAATACAGCTGCCCTGACTGTTGGTGGCTGACAGCTCAAGCTACATCCCACTGGAGAAAAAAAGCTGCCCCACCCCAGGTTTTGTCACCTTCTCCCCCATTCGGCATCCAATGACTGGTGGTTGAAGGGATACACAGGCCCAGAGCCTCTGTGCCAATCTAGCACTACTCTCAGGGCCCATCCAAAGCCCAGAGCTTCCTGAGATTGGCTGAGACTTCCGATGCGGCTCATCACCTCCGTCTGCTTTCCTTTTCCACTCCCTTAGAGACGTTATTCCCCAAATGCTCCCCAATAATACTCACGAACCAAATTACTGTCTCAGAGTCTGTTTCCATCTCTGACACTTCACTCCCCCTTCTCCCTCACCCTCGTTGTCCTGAGCTAGAACCGCCCAAATAAAGGATTGGCAGTTTAATCCTTGACTTACGTTTTGTTTCCAAGAGCTTCCTGGCTAAGACATCTCCAATACCTCATTTAATCCTTTCACAGTCCTGTGATGCAGATATTACCCACACCCATTTCACAGAGGTGAGATCTCTGCCCAAACTCTCAAACTAGAAAGTGGCAGAGTTAGAATTTGAATCTAGGTCTGACACCAAAATCCATGCCTTTAAGCATGATACTATACTCATACCATACATTTTGCCCAATCTAATATTTTATTTAGATATCGATAGACCTTTTTTTTCTGTAACTTTGAATATTGTAGTATCCATATTATTTTCCCAAAGTCCTCAAAAGGGAAAAGCTGCTTTGTTTTGGAAAAGTTTAAATGAACTATCGCTACTCTTCTTCATCATCAGATCATAACATTATAACTGGGGATCTACACGTGACCTTGGAATGGACAAACTTTTGCATTTGCAGCCACACATGTCATCTCTTCTTAACACGTTTTCCACTTGCTACTTTTGAGTATATAAAGAATGCTAATGAACATCATAATGTATAAAAAGAGACAGAAACTGACAAGATCCTTAAAAGCCAATTAGCACAACCCAACTAACAAACAATAAAAACCCACAGGCCTTTCAGGATCAGCCCTGTTTATCTCTCCATCTCACTTCATACCACTCCTCCTGTGACTACTGTGCTTTGGTCAGCATGGCTTTATTTATTTCCTAGCAAACAATTTACCCAATGACCCTATTTCCTTTCCTAGAAACGGTTTACCTCAGGACCTTCACTTACACTGTATTTTCTGCCTTGAACTCC